CCAACCCTAATAAGTAATGAACTGATAAAGTTCTTTCTGCATCTTTCCTCTATAAAATCAGGGGATTATATTTTTTAATGCCCCTGGAAGCTGACAGGAACTTTCATCCCAGTCTTCCACAAACAATTGAAATAGTGTTCTTTCTGCATCTTGCTTCATTTTGCATCCCCCGTGTTAGTCACCAAATTCTCTATAAAATTATGGGTTTGAGTTAATAAACCTGTGCGCCCTCATTTTGTAGAGAAGCATCGTGCTGATATCAAGGTGGAATAATGCCAAGCTGAAAGAGCTCGCTGAAGAAGAGGATACAACTGCTCATCGACAGCGGTCTTCGCGATTGGCAAAGTGGAGAGAGATTGCAGAGCAAGCGGCCAAAAGCCATGAAGTCGAGGTTCAGCTGCCAGACTCAATTGAGACGCTCAGGCATGCTCAGGCTAGAGGCGTTCCTTTTTGGTTAAACTGTTCGGCCTATAGGCCCTTTCTTTTGATTTCTTTTGTATGTAAAGCTTTTTAGACATCTAGCCGTATGAACGAGGATGGGCCATATTGTGCTGGCCGTTATGCCCAAGAGCTGGAACCAACGCCAAGAAGTGACCGGGTGTGTTGCCCTTGTGACCTCTGTGTGGCATGGGACGAAAAAGCCAAAGCTAGCCACCACTGCCATTTCTATCAACCACGCCATGGGCATCCGTGTTGTGACCATGACGGAGGGCGAGAGAGGTTGGACTTGCAATGCTCGCTCTGATGCCGTTGTCCTTCGCCCCCCAGACCATTGTGGCAATCCTTGAAGTTGCCAAGGATGATGGCTATGAAGAGACTGCAGATGGAATCACTGTACAGCTGAGTGAGAAGTCCAATGCACCTCGAAGTCCATTCAGACAAGATCAGACCTTTTCTTGCGCAGATTTTTATATTATAATATATTATATTCTTCAAATAGTTATGATGTTTTTAATTCATATATCCTTTATGTCATGTTGTTTCATTCGCGCCCAGGAACTGACCAAAGAGATGCGTTTCATTGCCGCGTGGTGGCCCTCTTTGGAGGAGGAATCCGGCTGTGCTTCCAATGTCCTGTCGGGCATGGTGCTGCCTGGGAATGGCCGAAAGAGAAAGAAGAAGCCGGCAAAGAAAGCGCATCATGGAAAAGCAAAAAAGGTGTTCATCAAGAAACCCAAGAAAGGCGCTGCTGCTGCAGATGTTCCAGCGCAGGCGCAACCCATTCCACAGAACTTCAGGAGGACACCGCAGGGTGAGATCCTCATCAAGCAAGTGGTCGAGAAGCTGCGGAAGAAAGATGACGAGGTGTTCCCTGATGCAAGGATCTGGAATGCGGATGACTTGTGCAAATTCAAGGCTGGCAAGTGCTTTGGACAGCCTTGGAGCTCGTTCTTGAATGGTGCTTTTAAATACTTCAGGGCAGAGCATCTCAGCTGATCTCAAAAGATATTTGTTGGGCCTGTCCAAGAAATTAAGCTCTCTACAGAATCAGTGGGCTTTAGGTTTGCCCTACCACAATCTCTATAAAATTCAGGGGGGTGCAGTCCTTGGAATCACGGTCTTCTACAAAATCAAGAACCCTTCTACAGAATCAGGTGGGCTATGCCTGAGTGCCACTCTGTTGATGCTCACTCAAACGCTAGGTACGCAAAGAAGAGTTCTGTGAACTGGGGTCGGGCAGTGGATCGCCACCTCACAGCGATCAATAATGGCTTCAATGCAGAGCCTCGCAGGAGAAAGCTGTGGCTTGCGTTGTTGAAAGACATCGCTGAAAGCATCTTCGACTGAGTTTTGAGTATCGTTGAGTGAAGCATAGTGGCCCTAGTCTCTGGGGAAATTGTAGCTGTGAGCTGTGAACGCCCAACATGGCCAAGCAAAGATACCAAAAAGAATTTCAAGCTTTTCAAGCCCTAGCAGTTCAATTATGTTCAAGTTCAAACTTGTTCAATCACTGTTCGCCAAAAGCTTTTCAAGCACCTTAAAGTTGAAGAGTGCCCCATGCGCATGGACATGGACGGGCCATGACTCTGAGGGCAGAAAGCACAGCTGTGATCAGCTCTGTGGGGATTCAGAATCAGTGAGCGTCAGATTCTGTCAGGAAAAAGGTGAGCGCATCGGGTTTGTCATCGGGTTTGTCATCGGGTTTGTCATCGGGAAATGCATCGGGAAATGCATCAGGAAATGCATCGGGATGTGGCTTTGCATTTGTTGGAGTGTCGCTTGCAACTAGCAGGGATTGATTTTATAGAGAGCGCACTTTTCTGATAAATTTCTGTGAGCTCACTATGGCCAACCCACAACCCAATATTGTAGACTTAAGGTATCTATCTCGGGGGGGCTGGATTTTGTAGTGGATTGGTTGGTTTGAACCTGGGGGGCCACATTTGTAGGCATAAAATGGTACCCCCTGGGTGGTCGTGTGAATTTTACAGGGGATACTACTACTACTACTACTACTACTACTACTACTACTACTGACTACAACTTTTTGAGCACTTGCTCTGCGGTTGGGTCGAATGAACTTACATTTGCCAGTTCACCCGGAATCACAGCCGGATAGTTCATAGCCGACGATGATCTTTTGTTCCGTGGCTTTTTGGTGCGGGTATTCATGGCCTGTGGCCCAATGGATATAGGAGCTGGGGATTGCAGGTTCCAGGCCCAACCAGGATCATATAAGCCCCTAACAAACTCACTAACTGTCTCATGATCTAACTAGCCAACTAGCAAAATCAACTAACTACCTAACTGACTGACCGAGCGGCGGACTGACTAACTTACTCACCGACAAACTGACACCGCTTGACTGGCTGACTGACCCACTGACGGACGCACGGACGGACGGACGGACGAACTAACAAACTGGCGCCAGCTAATTAATTAACTAACTAACTAACTAACTAGCTCACTAGTTAACTAGCTAACTAATTAACTAACGAACTAACCAACTAACTAACCAACTAACTAACTAACTCACAACGGAACTAACTGACTCACCAGTTGTAACGAGTTGACACATCAACTGACTAACCAACTAACTAAGTATACACTAGACGCAACCAAGCGTACCTAAACGCAATTAAACTTAGCTAAACTGAACTAACTGGACCAAACTGAACTAACCTAAGCTAAACTGAAATAAACCATAAGCAAAACTAAAAAACACATTTAAGTAAACTAAACTAGACTAAACTAACTAAACTACTAGACTAACTGACTAAGCCAGCTAAACTCCGTACATGAACAAACTAAACCAACTAAACGAACCAAACCAGCTAATCTAACTAAACCGACTGAGCCAACCAAACTAACTATACTAAACTAGGACCATATCAGCCACTGGGTCACTAGGTAACTCACGAAGTCACTAACTAACCGAGGAACCAACCAACTAAGTAACGGACTTACCGATTCACCATCTAAGTGGCTCGAAGACTCGCTAGCCAGCTGGCTCGCTAGCCAGCTGACTAGCTAGCCAGCTGACTAGCTAGCTAGCTGACCAGCCAGCACGCCAACTAGACGACTAGCCAGCAAACTAGCTAGAAGCTATCGCCTCAGAAGCGATGCGGAGTGTTTTTGGTGTACCACAACCGAAAAACAACTGGAGGTAGGTTGAGCTACAGAGTGCATTCCTGAGCGATGAGTCTATGGTCGGGATTACTTACAGGGTACGGCGCTTGAGCATGTGAGCATGATCTCTTTGACATTCACTTGACCTCGCTCAAAGAGATTGGACCAGTGTGAATATGCTCAACGAGGTCATATCATATCTCTTTCATATTCATGTGAGCATGTGACCATGAAGACTTTGGACACTGGACACCGGACACCAATCGAAACGCCGCGAAACGCGTGCGAGCTTCGCCCGTTGCGTGGCGTCGCGTTGCCATGCGTCGCCTCCCAATTCGACGAGGTACGGAAGCCTCCCCGATGCGCCGAATTGCGATACATCACCGAAGTACGAGGCGCCTTTGAGGGTCACGATGGAGCATGAGCGCTGAGTGCTGGAGTGCTGAGTGGCTGTGAGGGTCGAAGCTGATCATGACGAATCTTCCCCTTTTCTCCCTCTAATTATGGCTGGAGAATGCCAAAACATTGTTGATTGGCAATTGTTCTGGGAATGGTTCAGAAGTTGCATTGCGCAACTCACCAAGTATGTTGACATTGAGACATCTCAGCTTACTGCATATAAATAGTCAATTTGGGATTGTTTGGTATGAGTGGGAAGCGGTCCACTGAATGGCTTCCCCAATCCGGAACATTCACAGGACATTCCTGCACTACACGTTTGAAATCATCTGCAGTTCAACATACCATCGTCCCCCGCTGAAGATCAAATAAACACTTCAAAGGGTATCGGTATCATTATCATGCGTGTCTTTTATCATCCAACTGCTATGACAGCAGTTCCGTTCTTCCCTTTGGCCTGCAGTCTTGGCTTTCGTCCAGGAGTTGCAGGGTGATGTGCCTGGCCTCGACATCATTAGGCAATGGAGATGGGTCAGGGAAAGGAACATGGATTCGCCAATGTTTCGTGTTCACTGATCATGTAGGTGATATTTCAGATGGTGAGAACATATGCGGTTGGGAAGCAAGACACTCATTTGGATAAACAGCTAGCAACAATTCCATTTTAGCTTTGAAGTGGTAAAGATGCTGGCTCAACATTCTGTAGATAACCTCGGTCAAAGACATCCTGAGATTCCACCAGAACGTCACACCCTTTCAATGACATTCAACAGATGAACGCACAACAGGCAGTTTCTTCATTGGTTTGATGCGAGTGACCTAGGTGTCGTTCAATCAACTTATCCAGGATTGTGCTGCAGGCATCTTATGATCTGCCGAACAACCATAAACCATTAAAAACCAAGGTGTTTCTCCCTTTTTCCCGGCTGTAGAGCGACTCTCAAACTATAGACCAGTGACTATAGACTCCATGACTCTATGCATCTTGATCTCTTTACAACATGCTCAAGAGACCCTAAGAGACCACGGACCATTTCCAGAAGAGATCCCTTCTCCCATCTTCTCTGCTTCCAATTCTCTTTCCGCGCAGCCCGCTGGTTTCGCCTGGTCGCAGGCGTCAAGAGTCAGTGAAGCTCCGCGCGGTTCTTTGTCATCCGTTGCACCAGATCTCCTTGGCAGCTTGGATGTGATCTATATTTCATGGATGATGTGCAGCGCAAAGACTACGCTCCAAGAATATAGTGCTCTCAAATCAAATCACTTACCCCAACCTCACCTGTGAAACTTGAACGAAGATCCAGCAAAATACGTTACTTGTAGGTGAGATAGATGGGGTGGGAAGTCTGGCAATTCAAACAGTTCAATGTTCAATGGGCCATTGTCGGGGTGGAAGAGCGGCACCAGGTGGACGCGGAGCGCGTTTGCTCCCGCGCCGTTCCGTCCGCGCGGACGAAGGGGTCCGTTGGAGTTGGCTGTTGGGACCGCAAGACGTACTTGGCTTGACGTGTAAACGGTGACATCCTACATCATCGTACGTCCTAGGTCCTAGGTCCTAAGTGCTCAAAATAAGCCCAAGAAAATCCCCAACAGCTCAAGGCCAATTTGACAGCCTCCGGAACCTGCTCCGGAACCTGCTCCAGAACCTGCTCCGGAACCTGCTCCAGAACCTGCTCCGGAACCTGCTCCGGAACCTCCTCCACTCCAGAACCGGAACCTGCTCCGGAACCTGCTCCGGAACCTGCTCCAGAACCTGCTCCGGAACCTGCTCCGGAACCTCCTCCACTCCGGAACCGGAACCTGCTCCGGAACCTGCTCCGGAACCTCCTCCTGAACCTCCTCTAGAACCTGCTCCGGAACCTGCTCCGGAACCTGCTCCGGAACCTGCTCCGGAACCTCGTCCGGAACCTCCTCCGGAGCCTGCTCCGAATCTGCTCCGAAGCCTATTTACTATGGCTGAAGACCCCGAGCTTCGCTGTTGGTGAAAAAGGCATGTTTGATAGGCAGCCTGGGGTAGCAGTCTATGCGTTCTGGGGGGGAAGCAAAGCGAGACAACATGGGCCTTTTTTCAAAGGGTGAAATTGGGCAAAGCAGTGCCTGATCAAATTCTCCTGTTGGTGTGATGATTGGACATGGGCCTTTTTCGTCAAGGTCTCGCTGGCTTAAGTATTTTTTTTTGGGTTTTCCAGGACACTAGCACATATCACGGCGCGCTCACTCCTTCTTTCCGCTTGGTCCTACAATGACCTGTTTTGCATCATCTCTCATAAGAGCTCAGGAAAGTGTGGTGGAGTTGCACGGCAATGACCACATGAACCCACCACGATGTGTGACTTGGAGAGAACACAAATCACTTATGGAAGACTTCGAGATGGACCTGCAGATTCTAATGGGAATTCAGTTTCCTGATCTAGTCATGTCTCTGATGAGGGTTGTTCCAAATAGAACTATGGTGTTGTTCTATGTTTGTACGTTTTGGGAACAAATGGCGGGCTAACCATAGATTTGAGGAGAACTGGCCATAGATTGTTCGTAGAACTACTGAAGGGACACTTGTCTCACGTGAGACTTGGCCACTTCAAACTGCAGATGTTTGAACGACCCTTCCACCCTTCCCGCCATGCCGGAGGGGTCGTCGTTCGGTCATCGTGCCTGCACCGTCGTCGGGTCGAACTCTACCGAAGCAGAAAGAAGGGATCTCTCAAGCATCGCACTGAGCATAGCTCAGCGCAGCTCCAGGTAGCTTCTGGGAACCTCTCCACGGAGACGACCTATGCCTTGCAGGTTCAGGCTCGGTCTCCTTGGGAGGTCGTCCAGCCCGAGAAGACTGCAGGTTCAACTGATGCTCCACATGGTTTGGGGTACAACAGTTTGTTTTATGTCAGTTTTCTCTCCCCCTCTCGCTTTTGCCAGTGTTTTGTTGTTTAAACCGTAGTGGTGTTTTTTCGTAGATGTTGGTTGGAAACCAACAGTCACTGACACTCAGCAGCTTCTGAATTTTCGAAGTGATTTTGTCCAACAGGCAAACTAGCATCTGAAACCATACAATACAAAACCCAAGTTTTGCCGCGGGTTGTAACATGGATTTGTCTCAGAATAGGAGTTCGCTAGAAATTGACTACCAACTGTAATCTATACATAGCAGTGAAACATGAGCTCTTGTCACCTTCCATGGTGCAAGTGCATTGTCTTATCAGGTCTTATCTAAGTGAAACAGGAGATACCTTGCGAGTTTGGTCCTCCAAGTGTGCAGGTCGAGTTGCTCGTTGATCAGCAGCCAGATGCCAGCATTTTCTATGAGCTCGAGGGGTTGCTTGGACGCAGATGGGCATCTTTTGGCATCCGACTCGTCGTCCGAGACTCTATTTGTGTCGATGCTTCGTTGCAAATACATGGTGAGCAACCGGAGATGATGTCGAGTTGCGCATCCGACGTGTTTGTTGGTACTTTCCTAGGAGACTTGGGCAACCAGAGCCACTGTTTTCGCGGGTCGAGTTTGCGCATCGAAAATAACAGTTGAAGCCAAACCTTCCTCTTCTAATCTCCTCTACCTGATCCCAGAAACGTCACCGCTCCGAACTCGATGTTATCCTCAGAGGTCCAGCAGCCCAGTGACCTACACGGCGCCTTTCGTGCTCACCACGCCGGGCTTGGCGGATTGGCAGTGGAGATGGATATGAAGAAAGGGAGAGATGGGCATGGCAACCCATACCCCCCTGCACAATCCTGATTCGAACATATATTTATACACACCCTGAAACTAACATGGAAGTAAAAACACCCTGTTTGTAGAGGAAATTGGTCTTCCAAGGGACAATTTTCCACTTCCATGTTAGTTCCAGGGAGTGTAGCTCTTTGAGCCCCTTGTAACCCCTTGTGCCGATGACCAAATGTGTATAGACTTTCTTTGCAAGGGCGGTAAGACAGTTTTCCCTTGATGATCTTTGATTCATCAAAGATGGCCGGCAAACTTGACCATGTCCTTGGTACTCCGGGGCCATGTCCAGCTGGCGCATGTGGAATTCTAAGAGACAAAAGAATTGATCCGAAAAAACAAAAAGAACACCAAAGCCATCAAGCGCCACAGCAGCGAAGCTCAGCAAGACATTTTACTGGGAGCCTTTTGGTAGACCCATCACCTTCCATCAGATTCTTTTCCCCACCCAACAGAAGCAACTCTTCAGCAGCCAGCAGCACAACACCGGGCAGCACGTGTCTCACACGTCGGAGCATGGTGAGGTGACCATTAGTAGCTGGGCAGAGAAGCCTGGTTTCGACCCGAGTAGCCGCACCAGCTGCAGCTATTGGATCGATGGAGCAGCAACCTGGCGTGATGGGTTGATGTTGTCAAAGGCGGTTTTCAGCGGTTTAGTGGGATGTTCGCACATGTATGAGAAAGCTTCCAAAGGAGATCTCAAGTATCCCTCAATAGCAAGTGTGAATGCTTTCAATCGCGGGTTGGGATATTTGGGGGTAAAGATAATCAGACGGGGACTTTTTGATCTTGTTGATCCTGCCTAGTTTGCGGAGGCAGAGGCATCGCCACCGAAAGATAGCACAATAGGCTGCAAAGACCCCAAGAGAAGACAGAATGGACAATCCGCAGAGATGTACCCGTGTTTGGCCTAACATCGTGAGCACCAAAACTCCGTGTTGTTGCAGCCAGGCAAGAACTATCATGCACCAAAACTCCGGGTGAACGAGGAGCATTTATGGTCCCTTCTGCTAGAGGTGGCCTCCCTAGTTGCCTGGAAACACTCCTCTGTTGGCCCCTGATGCAGCTTCCGCAGCAAGACAATACTTCAGCATCCATCTCACATGTGCAATGGAAATGGACCTGACAAAAAACCATCCTCGAACCACCTGCTACCAAGTTTGTAAATATGTCACATGTCCCCTTTTGTGACCAGCAAAACTCTAGTTCCTGACAAGCACGAGTAGCCTGGCCCAGTCTCTCCTTCTTCATTGCGAGTGCATTTGTTGTGGCGATGTGCGGTTTGAGGCGCGGTTAACATTGAGGGCTACCTGGCCAGAGCCCTCGCCTTTGCTGGGCTTTAGCAGTACTGAGGGTGCCTTCTTAGTGGCCTGGAGAAAGAAAGGTCTGGAAGGGCTTTAAGATGGATTGTGTGAGTGTCTCCCTACGCTGCTGGAATGAAGGTATAAATGACCAAGTTCCTTGGCAAAGTTCAGCCGCCCGAAGTCCGAGCCAGCTCTTTTGTGCCGGCTTGAGATAACATTCTGGGGGCGCACCCAAATCTCCACTCCAAGCAAGGAAGATGCGACTTTGGAACGGGCACACCGAATCAAAAAGCTTCGAACTTTCCCAAAGGATTTCTGTATGTCCTACCATGTCCTTAAACCCACTTTACCCGATAGACCTGGGCGCTGCCCTCCTCCTCCGCACTTCGCCCTCTCTCCATCTCTCTCCCCAAAATATCAAGTGCCTGAGACCGCGGCCGGGCGTGGCCTCCTGGACAGGTGGAACGAGACCTCGAGACCTTGGCCTTTCTGCTGGAGGTGCCGGGCGTCACCGACACTTCGTCGTGCCATGGTTCGTGGAAGGAAGCGGAGCCGACGGCCGGTGCCGACGGCCGGTGCCGACACGTCTCGACGGAGCACCGGTCCACCGACGGTGTAAACTCAGCTCTCCAAGGCGGAGACCCGGCTGTGGGGCACCCGGGGCAGCCTGGTTGGCGATCAAATGAACAGATTAGACTACCAGGGATGACGCTACTACAGTAGGGGCTCCTGGCGGTACTACGACGGAGCGATCGGAGGCTAGGGCCGTTCGGGGCTCCTGGCATCGCTACGAAGGGAGCAAGGTTTTCCCCCTGTTAAAAAAAAAGAGGAAATCGTTTTTGAGCGCCGGGGAACCCTCGGTTTAGGGTTTTCGATGGGGCGACCAGACGACGGGGTCGGTCAACTCCTCAAAGGCTTCGAATAGGTGGGGCAAGTCGAATGGGTGGATTTGTGCTGCGGTTTGTTAATGGTTTGCATATCTTTTTGCATCCTCCGCATGCACCAGAATCAGTTCCAGATGTGCCAGGTCAACTCACTTGAGTAGGTGCTGCTGGCATTTTTTTTTGGGGGGGGGAGGAGAGCTGGTAGAAGTCAACATAAGCTTTGTCACCTGCCTTTCTGCCACACCAAGGCTGCAGCTCCAATACCGACTCTGGCGTGGCCTTTTGGGCGTTGGAAGCTGGCAAGCCGTGCCCTCTGGAGGTGCCATGCACCTGAAGCTCTCAGATCACTTGGAGGTGCACGTCGGGTGCAGCGACCAACGGAACGACCCGGCCGGACGCTTCGCGTGGTTGTTTGGGCAGATGGGGCACCAGGGGGGAAGGCATCGACGACATCGATGTTTTAGGCCCGGCACGTTTTGTGTCCTGAAGGAGGTGGAGGTCATTTCTGGGAGGGTAGAGTGACATCTCCGGAATATCAATCCTCTTAGTGAGGCAGTGAGGCACTTTGCATTTTGCATGTTCTTTGGTCGTCTAGTGACATCATTGATTCAGGTGTTCTAAAAGCAAGGTTCCAGAGTTCGCTGGTCGCCACATATGCATGCCTTGGGAATTGCTCTGTTGATGCCACTGAGAATTGTCAGATTTGTGTTGAAATGGTGATCCAGCCTTGCTTTGTGAACGGCCCTTGCTTGGGCAGCTGATCCCCACAGCAGTGGCGGCCTGTGTCTTGAATTGGAGGGGTTGGCCGGGGTTGGCTAAGATCTGGCAAATTTCCTGGATAACATTTCGATCGAGTTGCCTGCGTGGTCCGCCGATTGTGGAGGCCACTTAGTCACTTTGTTCTTCCATGAGTTCACCACTCTATTGTTCATGCCAGCCACGACACAAGAGCCTTTTTGACGTCGCCATTGCACAACGCATGCGAGGCAGCCAACACAACCACTCTGTTGCAGGTGGACTGGCGGTTAAAGGAGAGAGTGCGTTTTTGGAATTTCCGAAACGCTCAGAGGCTCAGAAAAAATGGCCGGACCTGGCTCAGACAAAACCCAAGAGACTCAAAGAGACTGCAGGTTTGTGCAACATGTTTGAAGCATTTGAACAACCAGACTGACCATCTTACTAAGTCCGTTTGGTCGCACCAAAGCTGGATCCCAAACCCCTAAGACCAAGGCGAAGCGCTGTCCATTCTTTCAGCGGCCAGGAGCCAGGATATGTTTGGACGAATCCAGGCTACGTGCGGGTGCTGATCATCAAGACACGTACCGAGGCCCTCGACGAGCGAGCAACGTAGTGGTTGTTAAAGCCATGTTAAGCCCTAATTCAAGGAAACTGTCCGAAGTACACTGAGTACTTGAAGCTGATTGAATCACCCCTGGCAGAAGGAGATTCTTTTGAAACCAGTTGATTTCCCTGATCAGGTTCTACTTGATAGGAACTCATTCCTCTAGCAACTCCAGCAGAGCCTCTATGGAAGAAATAAGAAGATGTGTTGGTTGGTGTTGTTTATTGGAACACCTAAAGTTGCATTTGTTTGAGCACGTTGTTCATGATAAAACTTGTCTTTTACCGTCTTTGACATTTATTTTTTAAATCTCTCCCATGTCGTTCTCTTCCATGTTTGAACCGGCCCCAAACAACAACACCAAGAAACTTCTGCGCAGGTGCCGAGCATCCATGCGGAACCGCTGGTGCTGTGGCAACTGGGAGATCACTGGTTTGAGGGTCCCAAGCGCGACGTGGCTATGAGACAGACCCACACGGTGCAGCTTTTGCAGCCGAAGCTTGGAGCAATTCACCACTCCGCGCCGAGGTGATACCCCCAACAAGGGGGGTCTTCAGACAAGAAGGGGGTCCTAGGCCAGCGTCCATTTGTGCCTCGCTGCCTCACCAAGTGACAAAGAGAAGTCGATGTTTGCAGTGAAGAAAAGTTGCCTGACAAAGTGAAAAGAGTATCAAGGGAGTCGGGTTCGATCCTTTTTACAGACTCGTGCTTACTAGAGAATGAGGGTGGCTAGATCCAAAGGAATATCTCTATTGGGGGTTCATTCCCTCATTCCCTACGAGTCGCACCAGTCAGTTTTCGGATCACTTCGAGTTCGAGGAACCCGTAGAACCCCATACCCAGCCCCAGCCTCACTGAGGAACCCGGCTGCACGGGTGCTCTTCTCGATCCGCTCGGAAGTCGGACAGCCGGAGGTGAAACGCGGCCGGGGAGTTGGGTGTGGCATTGGGAAGAGGTTGGGGTTTTGACTACTAGATCAAGCTCAAATGATTACAATGACAAGCGGACATCGACAGCATAATCGATGTACCATGTAATATATTGACTATTATATCGAATATACCGACAAATAGACTAGCTTGCAGGTTTTTGGGTGTACACATGCATGCACGGAGTATACACGAGGTAATATGACCCGCACGTTCCAAGCAGTTAACAAGATCCTCTTCAAGCCATATGCTTTTCTGGGTCAATGTTCTTTGCGTCGGTGAACCGTTCACTAACCCCATATGCCCTCCGGTCGCGCTGGGTGGCGCAGGTGGGCGATGGGGCCTTACTGACCATGAGCCATGAGAACTTCACCTCCTTGACCTCTGCAGGTGGAACGTCCAATGTGGGGGTGGCTAGGAATGTCGGACGTGGAAGGATCAGAGAATGAGCAAGGATTTCTTTCTCACGTGAGCAAAGAATGAAATACTTAATCCAGGGACTAGAAGATACTATATATAGAAGTTACGACCAGAATGTTTTTTTTTGGGTTGAGCTGGAAGCTCACAGCTCCAACCCTTTGACCAGCGCTTTGACCATGTGAGACCGTAATTACTTGGTGATCCAAGTTTCCAGGCATTCACTAGTAGCGTATAGTAGCGTCCTTGCTCTGTTTGTAGTAAGGCCAGGAGCCCCTAATTCGTCCGTCGCGTCCGATCGCTCCGTAGCGATGGCGCGATGCCGCTCCGTTCGTCGGCGTTTTTGCTCCATGCTTTGGCGTTGGATGTAGAGAGGATTGTTGTTTGTGAGCGGAGTTCTGACACGAACTCGGAGGGTTTTGAGCTGAAAAGTTCCACCTGTAACTCACGTGCATGAGTTCCATTTGCAAAGGCTTCCTTGGATTGATCCCAGGAATGACTGTTTCGAAAAGGCAATCACCCAAAGAATTCACGCATCCTCTGAGTAAGAAAAGCCCCTTTTGAGCCCCATACCAGAACCCGGTATCCCAAAGCTCCGAAGAGGAAACCAACAGTACAAATAGCAAACATGGTAACATAGCCATCGACGTGGAAAAGCTCACAGCTCCCCACTGCCACTTCTCAGGCGCAATGCTGGAGCACTTCCGCTCCAGCGTACCCAATGCGGGTTTACAGCCGGAGGAGATGCCAAATGCATGTGGGGGAACTGCGCTGCAGCTCTTGTAGCTTGGAGACGGTTTAAAGAGTGGAAGAATCATCGGGCTTTAAGGCCAATTAGGTTGGAGGCCATTGCTATTAGCTTGGAGGCCATTTAAAAAAAATAGCGAATGGCCTGAAGTAGCTGCCGTATTTGGACGGTGCACTAGACCGTCTCTTTTTTACCAGATACTGGACGCTGCAGTGATGGTTCTTTTTGGAAACAGATCGGATTTGATCACAAGAAATACTGGTAGGACTGGTTAGTGAGTGTTCCTTCATGGTTCTGCGGCAAGGAGTCACAAGCTTCAGCCACTCTCCCTGCCTTGTTTGACTCTGACCCACATCCATGCAACATCACCTGAAACAGGACCCAAAATAATCATCAGCGGATTGACGTTTTGCCAGAGTTTGTCATCAGCTTTTGTCATCAGCATGAGTTACTTGATCAGGCACTTTTGCATTTCAAGATCTCAAATATCACTAGTCAACCCCTCAAGGGAATGAGGTTCATGGATGTCATGCCACGTCATGCCTTTCATGGCTTTCATCCCTCATCATCCCTCTTCCCCTGAAAGCGCCCCCTCTTAGGGGCCCGGGGTGCTGTCTGGGGTGCAACTGTCCGCCACCTGTCCACCTGTCCTTCCTTCAGGGCAGTGGAGGTCCCAAAGCTTTGCGATTACCTGGGGCCCTTTGAGGCGAGGCGATCGGTACGGTGGCGTCGGACCATTCGTCGATTCGTCGGGTCGAAAGGACGGAAGAACAGGTCGAAACAGAGGAGTGATGGAACATGATGGAATAGATGGGAGGCTTAGTTGGCAATGAGCCAGCAAGCTTAGGGGGGGAAAGAGGGACAGATCCGCTTGGTGCCCCAGCAGTGCAGCAGTGTTTCGAGATGTTTCAGGCAGATGATCCCCAAATTCTTATAACAAACATCTTATAACTAAGGATGATTCTTGATCTTTGACGGCTCCTTTTTACTCTTGTCGTTTCAGTCTATATCTTGGGAGATGTTGGGGGCTTCCGATGTTCAAGTAGCAACTAGGACACTTTGCCCCGATTTGGATGGTAGAGCTTGCATCTGAACCCCCCTGGCACGTCCAAAAACAAACTCCAATCGATCCAAGCTTCACCCATATTTTCTCTGTTTAACCCCACGCTGTTGTGAGTTTGATCTAAAGATATCTAAAGTAAACACCAGTTCACACACCTCTTCCTCGGGACAGGTCCTGGGCGGCGCCGTGGTCACGGCCTATGCAATCGTGGCAGGCCGCTCTTACGCTGACGCGTTCATGCCACGCACCGGAGAGGGGAGGTGGCTTTGTATTAGGGAGACCTCCCTATCCTGGTGTCTCCCTATCCTAATACTAACATACCAGGTATCCCAGGTCAATTGTGCTAGCTTATATAAAGCATGTTTAATATAAAACAAGCAAGCACAATGGTTCAATAAAAGCACTGTCCACACCGGTGGTGCTGGTGTGGTGCCGGTGGCTATTTAACCATGGAGTCTGAACTGATGAGTGGATGAACGTGCAAGAACGGAATTCAACGCTGCAACGCTGTTTCTGATTCCAAAGGTTGATGGATGTCGATGCATTTTATCCAAGATTGATAGATTCCAATGGATGCATCATGATGCATTTTGTTTTTATCATGTTTGTTGGTTCTTTTTAAAATAAATATCTCATTGTGGGATCTTGATCTGTGAAGTGGAATTGTGGAGTTGAATGTGACGGAATCATTCAAGAGTTCCCAAATATTCACTGTTGCACTTGCACCGTGGAATTCGTTTGGGGTCAGATTGTTTTGTTTCGGATATTTCTTCCCCCTGGTCTTGGTTTAAAGTACCCACCACAACGACATCAGCGTCGCGACTCTTCTGATCAAACATTGTATTATTCTATATTGTGTTTGATCTACAATACTTGCTATGAATACCAACAGATTTGCAAGCATAGAGGTTGTCCCAGTGTGGCTTATCGAAGACTTGGTGTCTTTCCAAGAATGGGACAAGAACCCCTTCGGCAAGGCCATTCTCCAATGTATATAGTCTTATATAGTGTTATTTGGGAGTGTAGCTTGCTTCCACAAAAAGGAACATTCGTTTCAGAGGGGTTGTTCCCAAGAAAAACCACGACAGTGACCCACAAAGATACAGGAGGATATCCCCGTTCTCCATCTATCAAACGCTTTCAAACCCACTTCAGTCATGGACAGAATTGCCCGAGAAACCGCCGGCGAACTCGTTCTTCCAGGGCAGCTTGAGAGTCCAGCGGCCACACTGCTTGTGCCCAAAGAACTTGAGCCCAGCGTAGAGGATCTCACCTTCCGTGCCTTTCCTGAGGCCGATGATGTGGTTTGGGCATGCGGGGCAAAGACATATGGGGTGATAATAAGGGGTGTGTGTATGTGTGTGTTCATAGGGAGATATCCTCAACCAATGGGTAGACTGGTCTATGTTTCTTCTTGCATACAATCGAACTGTGAGGTCTCCTAATTTTAATACACACCCATATTTCTCCAACCTACTATATATATATATATGATGTTGCAGACGAGCCCGCAAAAGGTGAGGGCTGAAGCCTCTTGCTTTGGCTATCAGCTATCAGTCAAGAAGTGATTCCGAGACTTTCCCTGCGACAGAACTGTACTAAAAAACAAACTGGCAGGACCTCTCAGCTGAACAAGGACAATGAATGATGTTTGTCAAGCTGATCTTGAAATATTAAAGATACGGTCAGGCCCAAGACTGGTTGTCAAAGACCCCCAGTTTCACACTTCCCACACCGTCACTGACATTCGCCATCTCCGACCACGCGGTCAGCGCGGTCGGTTTCACTGCGCGCAGTCCCACGCGCTTCGCAGCCAGCGGAGGTGTCTGGGAACGTGCTGACCATCACGCCACAGCTCCAGGCCACAGTTGAATTTCAACAGTTTTGTTCGGATCAGAAAGTAAGACCCTCGGAACTTCTGGTACCTGCAGGTGGATCAGTCTCATGTTGTTTTTCTAGGGGGTTGGATGGTACCCTAGTGTTACGGCGTTTGGAGCCATATCAATTTTTGCTTTGGAAAGCTGCACGGAACCTGCCATATAACCAGATATAACCAGTCCAAAGGGGATGATCCGATCCTTGCTTGAGGCTCAAAGTTCCATGAGGTGTTCACAGTTCCCCTTGTGCTTGTAGGGAAAAAAAAAGGATTGGCCATGCCCCTTTCCATTTTGCACCGATTCGTGGAGAGTAGCTCAGATGGAGAGCTGGAGAAAGTACGTGAGTCCTTGATCACTGCCTTCACGACCATCGGTGTGGTGGCAGCTCTACTGCTCACCATGGATAAGACTGGAGAATCTATCAAAGAGGAGGCAGACGCTTCAGAATGGATCGACTGTGGCCAGGTTCCCTGCAATGAGATTCATGTGGTTCTCAGCTGGCTCGCGCTGATCGGTTGCGCGTATGCCGTGTTGTACACCACCTGCACCATGGTGTGGTTGGCCGTTGTGCGTACGGAGGCAACTAGGGACTTCTTCAACTGCTTTCCAAATGTCCTGATGCATCCTGCGCAGTCGATGATGTTAGGCTCTACTTGTTGGGCCTTTGATGCCATGTGGCTCAACACAATCAGGCACGGCTCCAGCCTTATGTTGTGGCTGGCCACCCAGGGCTTTTCCTGTTCTTCCATTTGCTATACACTTTTGCCAAGATGCGTGACTTTGCTTGGCACTGGCCAAACGAAGGCTACGGTCTCCTAAGACAAAACAAGGACTAAGACAACCTGAGCACCTGTCACCTCAAAGCACCCAGTGCCGCTGTTCAATTGAAGTTGGACCTGGGTTTCCAGTGATGCCAGCCTGCTTGAAATGCATCTCATTTTAGACTACACATGTGTACGAAGCTGCATGAGGCAAAGACCTCACTTACTGCTGCCCAGGGGCAAAGATCCCCCTCGACAGAGAATTGTCTTGTTCAAGAGGTGTTTTGGCAGCTGGTGAATTCAGTAACAGTAGATCGCAGCAACTCTTGTCGTCCCTGACAAATGTCGTAGTCCTTGGCGACCTCAACTATAGGCGTTGTTTTTTTCAAGGCGGGGAAGAGGGGGGAAAGTCCAGATCTTTAGCACAAGGTCAGCCTTAAGCATCCCTTGGGTTCAAGGACCCCCAAAGACTGCGTGCTCACGAAGTAGGCCACTGGGGCAGAAAAGTTTTATTTGGGGGCATAATAGAGGGATATGATAGCCCCAAGAGACCCTCATCTAGTCTGTAAAACCTTTTAGTATGGGGGGGCTTTGTTAATTAATCAACAGCCTACATTATATATATAAGTCTTTTTTGCTGGTCTAGAGTAGATAAGATCACACGCACCTACAAGTCAGCGAGCTCACATGATTGCCTCATGTCTAATGGGGTTTTGGGCAACCAATCGACACCGCAACATGGGCCCAGTGGTGTGAACATCCACCCATAGCATCCTATAGTCCGCTGCATTTTGAATTTCACCCATAGCCCTATAGCAATACTTATTTTTCTCTTTTTCCTTACAAGCAGCCTTTTTATGCTCGTGTTTTCATTTACTTGTTGATCACCAATTATCATCTAAATTATCACAGGCAATGGCCGCTCCAAGTTTATATGCCCGCGGGGCAGCTCTGGCAGGTGTTGCCATCAGTGTCAAGTTTTTTGAGCTTTTCGGTGCCTGGGCTGGATGGTTGTGCGGGACTAGTTGTCTGAGTTGGCCCCAGTAGCAAAGAAGACACAAAGTGCCCCTAAGGCCAGTGTTTTTTGGTACAGTAAACATTGTGTCTAACAATGTGTTCTTCTAAATCAATTATATAGAATATATATATACATCGGTTTGTTGTTGTTTCTCCATACCTGAACATAGTCGCATTTGGATGAAAACCACCCCAGACCTGGCACACTGCGAGTTGATTCAACCATCACAACTTCCCATGGCAAGTCAACAGCTTTGGACAACGTTCTCTACTACCATACCCATACCCACATGGGAATGGGTCAGAACCTGGAGCCACAACACCATGTAGCTTGACCTTGCAGGTAGGGCTATCAGTTTTGACCCACAGCCAGGCTGCCAGGTTTCTCCAGGACTTTAAACAACATCAATCGACAGAAGAAGGACGGTCAGTCAATTGTATGTGAGCTGGAGGGATTGTAGACCCTTAGCAACACTCACCATGCAAGTGCAGGACCCATTGCAGCATAGCCTTTGCAACATCTTTGTCTTTCAAGTCTTCACTCTTGCGGTCCATCTCAATCTCCAGCGGTGCAGACCAAGTCATGTCTCTCCACGGTGCGGGTCATCATCCCAATGATGCAAGTCACAGTGATGTTCTATGGTCGGATATCAGAAAAATGAACAACAACACATGAAAAAACCTTCCAAACTGGGACATCGCTGCTGGGACCCAGCAAAAATCCCGAATCCATGCGTCAAAAAACGTATGCGAACGATTGTTTTTTGTGGGCTTGTCGATGTTTGGTTTGTTCGTTCAGAATTTGATTCCATTTTTGGTTCGTCACCTGGACGGTGCGGAGGGTCCGACCAGTTCACATTATCGTTTCTGACGCGAAGCGCCGAAGCTCAGGTGGGTCAACCAGATGCTGAGCGGCAAAGCTGTGTACTCGCAACTCCCTACAGCTCCATGAAGCATTTGGGAGGGCGAGGGCTAGAGTCGGATATATAGAGGGTTATGGTCTACCAACTGACCAACTGACCGGGTTGGGGTCATTTAAAAAATTGACCAACATGACCAGTTCTTCCTCATTCGTCATTGAGGGTCATTGTTTGTCCATCAGTTCAAGGCTTGTCGGAGTTTGGATGATTTAGATGTTGTCCATAGCTGTAAGACTCCAAGCCACCCTCGAGCAGGAGAAGAGCTGTATGTCGTGTCTGGTGGCTAGTCATGTCCTCCATCCAGATTTAGGCACAAAGCTCTAAGACTAAAGTCACCGTGACTTCACTGTCGAAAAGCCGGTCCGTCAAGTTGAGGAGACGCTCCGCCCGCCAGTCCGGCCGTTGCCCAACCGGTCTTCGTGGTGTTGCGCGGGTCGGTCTTGGCCACGGCATGGCGGCATGGCGGCATGACCAAAGCGTAGCATCCTTGAAGAACCACATCGCACAAAGAAGTGGCTGACGGTCTACCCTGGTACCCCTCACAAAGCTGCCACCAAGAAAGTGAATTGAATGTTGAGAAAATGTCTCTTCGAAGTAAAGAGTGGCAGGGGGACACCATGACAAACTCTCAGATGCAAATGGCAATCAACGGTGATCGAAAATATATAAGAAGACTAACATGTAGCATCCACGGTTTGGCCGCCACTTCTTCTTCTCCTTCTTCTTCTTCTCCTTCGTCTCATTCTTCTTCTTCTTCTTCTTCTTCTGCTTCATGGTCTGCAGTGCTCACATTTGTCGGGTTCACAGCAAAGTTATATACATACTCCTGCGCTCGAGGTTACCTGTCCACTATCAACAGCAGCAAGTTCATCAAAGACTGCAGCTGGCTTCCTTACAATGGCCCTCGAAAGCTCTACTTGGAAACCCTCTTGCAGGAGGCGCAGAAAGAGGAACCCCCAAAGAGAGAAACAGAGAAACATGATGAGCTCCCAGAAAGATGGGATGTGAAGAGACGTTACTGAGATGAACAACTCTTCTACGCACGAACAACCCAAGGACCGAAGGACCAATCTCTGCCCAAAACGGCCCACCGATTTTTCTAATCCAGCTAAAGGTCATCGAACTTCGTTTTCTCGGCCCAATTAGTTTTCGTCACGACCTGGGGGTTGCAAAAGTCTGAGTCCTCAGCCTCCCATAAAAGCACTGGGATGTTCAGGATGGTTTTGCCTCAGCCGATCACCACCTCCATCGATTTTCTAGACCACTTTTGCTGGCCCATGACAGGCCCCAGCGGCGGCGCTGACGCTGAATGTGACGATCCTCACCACTGTGAGGCCCCGGGAGGTCGCGAAGGCTTAGTAGTTTGGTAAATGACCCGTGGAGGCTGGCCAAAAAATAGAGAATAAAGCAAAATAAAGGAGGCTGGCCCCACTTTGTAAAAGATCATATGTAACTATTTTGGGCTAGTTCACTACATGCTGCTAGTTCATTGAGCGTTGCTCAAATGGGCAAAAAAGATGGACATCTCTTAGTGGAGGCAACCATCATTTCCTTTTTCCTCCTGCATTGCTGGGATTTCACTAGCGGTTGAACTACCGCCTTTTGTGTGTTCTCCCGACTGCAGCCTCCTGCAGCTGCTCCAGGCGTCCAGGGTATTTGTGGTCATTCCCTTTGGCGAGCACCGTTCTGTGGCTCCGCGAACGCACGCCCTTGCCCAAAGTGGTCCAGGCGCGCGAGCACCGTTCTGGACTCGCAGAGGAGTGGGCGGAAACCGGTGGAGCGCTCTGTTTTGGCGCTGCGCTCGGGGGGATGGAGTTGGTCACTTCAAGTCTCGCACCTTTGGAGGCAAGGAATTGGCATATCTTCAAGCAATTCCAAAGGCAAGGCTTGAACTATTTGAAGATATTCCAGATTCGCTCATTTGAACGATTTGGAATATCTTCAAACATTTTAGCAGAATCAAAGACTGACCAACCTGGAAGCTCACACGATGGTGTGTTTTCATGGGTCCCTATAACGGATCCATATGTGAGAGCCAGGTGACCTTTGGTCTAAATGACCCTTGTTCCTTCTCCCGTCAGTTCAGCAGCTGAGACCTCCAAGGAGTTCAGCTCATGCTGGAGGTGTTGGGGTCTCGTCTGGGGTCTCGTCTCCACACGAACAGCTCAGTGGGGTCGAACGTCTCTCGGTCTGGGTCTCTGGAATTGCCCTAACCACATGGGTTTAGCCGATGCAACGGGAAGGACAATGCAACGGAAGGACACGACTTGCTGATGTTTACCACGCTTGCCGAAAGATCTAGATGTATGGCAACAAAAAGATTCAAAGGTATTTCGACTTCGACACTCATGTCACCAAACTCTTGCTTAGCTCGTCTCTTGACAAGTCTGCAGAAACTCGGCCCGCTTCGATCACCGGAAGACGGCCATCGTCATCGGACGGGCGCCACGGAACCGGTCGGGACGGGCGCCGCGAGAGTCGGTGCTTCGGCGCTCTCGGTCGATCGAGTCGATCTCAGATCCTGGAGCCTGGCGCGGTGATGCCCAAAGCCATGGTGTGGCTTCAGGAGCGGAGAGCCAGCGAGCGGCGATCGAGAGCGTGATAGAATCATATTGAATCCTCGTGGTCTGGTGGTAGTTGGTTACTTACCCTCCCTCCAACAAAGCTGAGCAGACCTTCCTGGTTTCAGGAAATTTGGTTTTGTAATGTTTTGTTCCACTTTCATGATTGCTTCATTGAGTGTAACTTGTGTCAACTATTTCGAGTTGGATATGAATACTCAGAACTAGGATGATCAGGGTATGGATGGTTCAACCATGTTCAACCTAAAACCTGTTCTGGGGATGTTTTGGGAGGCAATACTTTGAAAGTTGCTCTGCCAGTTGTGCTGTCGAAGCACCTTAACCAAAATCAACCAACAACTCGTCTCATGTATGGATGGAAGAGAAGCAGTGTTGTCAGACCGACTCCCGGGCGCCTGCCACGCCTGGTGCGCCGGGCGCCCAACTTGTTTGCAAGCCAACTTGACCGGACACCCCACGGCTGACCAGCCAATCACCAGCCAATCTCCACCATACCACTCTACCAGCTCACATACATGAGAAGACTCCAACTCCGGTACTGGTAGGTCTTTGGAGGCATTCTCCATGATTTGCATCATTTTTGGTCAAACTCAGTGCCGCCTTGGACATTGGTTCTAGTCCTCCAGGAGGGCCAGGCAGCAGAGTGCTTCTTCACGTTGCACTATGAGCCGTTGGAGCTGAGCGATGCAGCGCGGCGGAGACGGGCGGAACGTGATGTGCCCATAGACTCTAGACCACCCCTAGATCCTCCAAGATGCCTCCGGATGGAGGCATCCTGAGATATGGTTGATGTTCGTTTTTGAGGTTCCAAACAGAAGGGAGTGATTTGAAGTGGCTGAATCAGCAAACTTGGAGTCGAGAGGTGGGAATGGGGGGACCAACTCAAAAAGTGACGCCGAAGCCGCCTGTGAGATCAACAAGAAGCCTCCCAGCGAGGATGCGTCCATCACGACTGCCTGGGAAAGCGCTTGCCAAGGTCTTTAACGCATAGAGAACTGAGATCAAACGTGTTGGAAGGGGAGTTCACTCAGTTGTTTTTTGCATAATGCTCTCACAAGACCTTTCCAGCAACTCCAGGTGCCATCTCCATTCTTGGTGGAGGCCTGGGATGCGTCGGCATTTTCGAAGCACTGTGGAGACACATGGAGAATCATGGAGACGTATTTGCTAGTGTGTTTGCTAAGATCCGTATTGGGTCAGCTATTGGGTCTCATATAATATATATATATATGGTCATCGTCATATTCACAGGATCTCCAATTTGTTGGCTCTCATGATGACCAGCCCTGCACGGTTGGCGAGAACAAAGGGGACGACCGGTGCGGGGAAACCTTAGCAGTGCCACCCGAAGAAACCGACCAGTTACGACCAGATATGATCAGATCACGCCACCCCAGTCGTGGACGTGCAGACTCTGAAGACCCATTGGTTAGACTGTGTCGGGCCTGTTAGGTGGTAGGAGTGGTGGTGGGTAGAAACCTCGCGCTTGTTCGGCGGATTTTTATGTTTGAACCGAACCGTGCGAAGCGAAGAGGTGAAAAAGGATGAACAAGGTACTGGCCAAAAGCGGGATCCCACTTTGACACCCAAGACATCCCAAGACATCCCAAGACTTATTACAACTTTTACATACTTTTACTGTAAGTCTATTTCATTCTATTTCTGTCATGGGATGTCCCAAGACATCGCAGCTTCGAGCAGATCATCTTGGCTCATCATTCCTGTTACTGTAAGCATGAAAACAGATCTGCAGGTCATTTCAGCTTCCGCCCCCATCCGCCATGACCCTCCCCGTCCACCCCACCGAGCCCCGCGGCAGATGTGTGCGCCATGACCCAGGTGCCTGCGGTGACCGCCAGCGTCGCCAGCATCGAGGAAGCCTTTCGTCCCACGGCCTACCGCACGGCGCTCCATGGGCCTGACATGTGGAGGAGACGACTTGAGCGATCGGACGCGCACCGAACGGAGCGGTCAGGGCATCGCACGCGACGAATTGGAGCGATCGGACGCGAACCGAACGTAGCTCCTGAAGCGAGATGGACACCTAGCAAGGCTAGGGGAATGGGTTGGGAACAGATTCAGATGGTTTTGACACATGTTCACTCTTTTCAAGAAAGATTGGTATTGGAACCCACAAAACGAAGGCTCACAAAAGATGGTCTTGTCATTGCAGTGGCCCCATCAAATAGACGCCCACCACGAGTCGTCTATATCATAGGTGGACACGTTTGGATATACAAGATGAGACAAAAACCCTGTGCAAAACGTTCTTTGATACCTCATGGTTTGTGTGATCCCTCAAAAAACCCATGAGGGCGCCCCGATCAGCCACCTTCAATCACACGTGAGTCACAAAGCTGTGCAGTAGCGATGTGGAGCTTTGTGCCTGGCCACACGTCACTCGGCTCCCGCGGGCAAACGGGTCGGGTGCTTTTACAGCGTGGTGAGTGACCGAGCTCACGTGGCGAAAAGCGCGGCGTGGATCCTCGGTGTCCGAGCGAACGGGAGGACTGCAGAAGAACCGAACCGAACCGGAACCGACTCGGCTGCATCACTGAGTTTGAAGCGGTTTCCCGAGTCTTTTGGCCTGTTCGGCGCTTTGGAGCCTGATGAGTCATCGGTATGTTGATGAGGAGAGGAGTTGAGCAAAGCTAAAGCCACTTATGAGATTGATCAATTAGGCTATTCATATATTTGAAGCTACAGGATGTATTCAATTCTCTCGTTGAGGATGGCTTTTGGCTTGCAATGGGTGGGCGGTATTGCACATCCATGCAAATCCATTGACACCAAACATCAAAGATATCATGACATGCACCAATCAAGTTGCATCTTCGCCCTGAAGTGGTTGACCCATCAGGCTTCATCCCTTTCACACAGACCCTTGGCCCAGGCCGAATGCAGAGAGTCCGAGCGCCCCCCCCTGAATCGGGCGGGATCAAGGGTCCGTGAAGCCATTTGATTCCGGGAAAGGTGACTGTGGTGGATCTATTTGTCCGAACACACGACATGGAAGTGGAAAATGCACCTATGGCCTTTTGGGGTTCTTGCGAAAGGTGGGCCCTCCACTTCCATGTTAGTGAGTCAGAGTGTACTATTCTGACGAATAAGACGACTGTGCCCAAACCAAGGCCTGTGAGCTGCCGATGAATGGCACCCTGCCAGTGCAGCTCATCACAGTGCCTGCGGGCTATACCAGGCATATGTGTCTCTTAAAGGGCCAACCGACGGCGGTGTGGTCCCCATAAAAACTGCCATGGCTCAATGACTAACCGAGTAGCATACCGCAAGATGTGGACGCCAAGCTTCCTGGCCATTTTGCGGATAAATCATGCCCGACAACAGTTGTTCCCGTGATGATATTGTGATGAACCGATGTACTAAACAGTTTGAACCATAGGTGATAGGACCTCATTGCCATGGGCCGTTCGATCGATTCGTCTCAGGCATGTCCAAGCCCCCCAAAAAAACCGCGCTTCCAATTGGTGTGTTTCACATCTGGAAAATAACTCGTTTCAACACCCACCTTCCTAGCTGGAGGAAGATCATCAAACCCCAGCAGGGTCGTTGTTGCGCGAAAACGGTTTGTTGCAAGTTGAGAGGAGTAAGATGTCCTGCTTGGATTGGTATTTGAATAGAGAGGCCCCCCTGGCGGTTTCGGGACTATTTTCCCTCTCTCAGTTCAGGCATCAATTTTTGGTCAGTCAATTTGACTTGACAAGGCATGTTTCACTTGGAAGCCAGAGGTCAAAAAAGCCATCAATCTTCTGGGACATGACGCATCTAGCCATGATCTGGCCCAGCAGGGCAGTTGCAGTGCTGCAGCCAGGCTTTGCGCTTGGGCACTGTGGCAAGGATATCTGGAGTCAACTCCTGCTTGTGGCTCGACAGATGGGTGAAGAATGGAAGGAAGATGAAGGACCCGTGCCATGCAGCTTGCACATATCACATCATTCTCATTTGAGTATTTTGAGTGACTGCCTGCGCTCCTTACTGTAAATTAGAAGACATTATATATATATATAGGTTTTCTTCATTCTCACTTTCCCAGAGAATGGCGTTTGGGGGGAACTCGTGGGGGAACTCGTGACTGTTCTCCAAAATCGTGCCCCTGAAAACTGGGAAGACCACATTTTAGCTGCTTAGCCTCCTGACCTGCTGTAGAAACCACGTGATGAGATAGACTGCTTGACCTGGTTGCCCAAAGAGAACCTATCGGACCTATCCCATGTCCCCAAGCGACCACTGAAGCTTGGAAGTTTCAGACCTAGATCAACTCTAGGGACTCTAGGTGTCGATCCTTGGTACATGGCTGCTCAGGGCGCCGCGAGTGTGGCGATTTGCCAAGGGATTATATATGTCATGTGAGTGTCTTCCTGCAATCGGCGAAGAACCAAACATTCATTTTCTATGAAAGGCCAGTCAGAGATGTGTGTGATTGTTTGTTTTTTGAATCCCTTTTCCATCCTTTTGCATATGATCATTGAGCTCGAATCTGCACCGCAGATCTGCTGATATATACACTTTCTCACTGTCTCACCAAGCACCGGGCAGCCCGTCCCCCGATGGTGAGCCCTAGGTGAGCTGATGGGCGCTTCAGGAACCACTGCTGTGGCTGAGCCTTCCTTTGTGGGGTCCTCAGTGGACAACATAGGAAAACACGAGGTAGATGACATCAAAGTCTTGTTTGATGTCGTTCTTTAGATGGTTTGGAGATGGTTTTGGAGTTTCTATGACCTGATATGGTCGAGCAATCACGCACCACCTTAATGGTTTTTCAGCAGGGCCTGGCTCCTGAAGCACCCGCTGCTTCACGTGTTGCCCTAGGTGCCCAGCCAAGCTGACCTGGAGTCCTTCCAAGATGAGACCGTGATCCTTCCAGAAGAGGCGCCCCACTGGTCAAACCTGGGCAGAGGGAGACAAGTCCTTTGAAGGATTTCCTGCCTGGTGGGGAAACTTGAAGTTGCGAAACTTACCGGACTTGGTTACTTGGGCTTAAGGTTTGGACATTTGAGCACTGAGCCTTTGTTTTGCTGCCAGATCGGGTGACCACTTTTGTCTTTGTGCGGGGCAGATAAGTCATGAAGACTCTCAACGTGAAGAAATCCATTGTTTTCGCATTTCTCGCCAGCTCGTTTGCCGTGAAAACCGGGCTACTGAGCAATCTCAGGCAGGCACCGATGTAACCTTGCGGGCGCAGCTGCTGCGGCCAAGAAGCACAAGCAGCGGCCCGGTTTCAATCGGCGAGCAAGGAAGTGGGAAAGTTCGATGAGAAGTCACCGGTGTTCATCGCCGTCATCTGGTTATGACGAACTTGCAGTTTTCAAGGACCCTTTTGGTGATCAATAGAACGTGAGGTGTTTCATCTGGATAGAAGAGTTAGTATATATTCAAGACGCAATCTGCAAGGCCGTCCTGTGGATTGGATTTCCTGAAGACTTGATCTGAACACCTTGGTTTGGGCTGAGAAAGCCTGGGTTACCTCACAATGTCACCCTCAAGCCTATACGATTCACATAGTTATTTAATATCACGAATATCATATATTTACATCTATTCACGAAGCAAAAAAACAGATCTTGCGCCACGTGAGATCCCTTCAAACGCTGTAATAGGCGCTGGCGCTGCAGGGCAGAAGTTCCAAACGATCTATCGACTTCTTTACTGTCCCAGTAAGAGGTTCATGATCACCAGTCTCTCATCCACAACAAAATTCACTGAGCATTCGACTGGCTTCACGAACGCTGGTCCGCCCTGGGCTCCAGTGGTTGTTCAGGTGATGCGAGCGGGTCCGCACTTCCAATTGACAGCCGCCGGTGGGGGAAGCGGTTCGATTGTGTTGTGGTGGGTCTGGAGAAGAGTTCCAGGGTCACAGGTGCTGAAGAACGCTGGATAAGAGGCGCTGTGATGTGCATGTGAAACCGAAGCCCAGCGACCAAGACCATGTCTTTTAAGGAAGCCAAGTGCAATCCTCCCCCAAAAGAAGCCAGAAGAACAACAATACCGAGCTGTCCACCAACCCATCCCCACCCAGCTTCAGACCCTGGCGCCCTAAGGTAAGTAACCTCCTCAACTTGACTACTGGAGTCACACATGAAGGGCCCAAACAGTTTTAAGCATGAGAGATGTCAATATTGGATCTCAGATCTTCAATCATTATATACACGAATGTTTTTCACGGAATGAATCTGACCCAAAGTTTCTGGACCCAAATCTTGAAGGGTTTCTGTCCGAGGCTAAGCCAAGATTGTTTGACACAGAGAGTTCTTCTACATACTACTTGTAGGACATAGTCAGTCTGTAAATAGGACGTCTGAGGCAAATCTCAGACACAGAGATGTTCCGTCCTCGTCTTTGCCAGGCTCTCCACAGCCACCTCTATGCCGCTCTTCTTGCCGCGGACGCACCCGCTGCAGTATCGCTATGCGGTGGCGCCTTGTTTTCTATCAAACCAACCAGGTAACTATGCGGGCTTGGAACAATCCTTTGTGTGTGTGTGTGTGTGGGTCAACCCCTGTCCCTAAGGGTTCCGATGTTTCCAAGCAGGGGAGTGGAGCAGGCCAGAGCTCCACTTAACAAAGCTCTCTGCAGTGTCCTGAGGATATCGGCAAGGACGCTTGCCGACGTACCTGCACCGGAAACTGTTGCTCAAGCTTTTCCACTTTCGATTTGATTCATGGTGGTTCCTGCATGCTATCTCCCTAAACCCTTTCCTGCCGCGTTTTGCCGCAGCTGATCGCCGCTTTCACTTGAGCGTTTTGAGAAACTCTTGTTCAACAATACTGTTTTGCTGACTCATGCGCCTTTCCGTTCACTCACCTTCCTTCTCGACGTGGGAATTGAGCTAACTGAAAACCAATGTCAGAGTGTGAACCGCTCAGCCGTCCCACTTGGGTGCTGGGTGTGATCCCCGTCACTGGGGCGCCGAAGCCATGCTGGAATTTCACTCACAGCTTCTTCGTTTCCACCTTTTGTTGGATTCTCTTAACCGATTCCTTTTCACCACTGGATTAACTGCATTAAGAGCCGTCGGGCTTACACGACATGCCACCACAACCGCCGGGCAAAAAACGGAATTCATTTCCACTTGAGGCCAGGCATGTTTTCCCAACCCCCCCCCCCCCCCCCCCCCCCCCCCCCCCCCCCCCCC